AATATCTGGTAATGCCATTTGGGTTATGCAACGCCCCGGCCGTATTCCAAGACTTTATAAATGATGTACTCAGGGAATTCATTTACTCATTTGTCTTGGTTTATTTGGACGATATTTTAGTGTATTCCCCTGATCTTCAAACTCACCACTCCCATGTGAAACAGGTTCTGCAGACGTTGTTGAAAAATAAACTTTATTGTAAATTAGAAAAGTGCATATTTGACCAGCCTGAAGTCCACTTTTTGGGTTACAACATCTCTGCATCGGGATTTCAAATGGATCCTAAAAAACTAGAGGCTGTACTACACTGGCCATTACCCTCTGGTTTAAAAGCCATTCAAAGGTTTATTGGTTTTGCCAACTATTACAGAAGATTCATCAAGGGATTTTCTTCTGTAATAGCCCCAATCACAAATATGACTCGCAAAGGGGTTAGTAGCACGGTATGGTCCAAAGAGGCTGTGAATGCTTTTGAGACTCTTAAACAAAGATTTGCCTCTGCGGACATACTAAAACATCCTGACACCAGTAAACCTTTTATATTGGAGGTTGATGCATCCGAGACAGGGGTAGGGGCTGTTCTCTCTCAGAGAGAAAGCCAGGGAACACCATTGCATCCTTGTGGCTACTTCTCCAGAAAGATGTCTCCTGCTGAGCGCAACTATGATATTGGCAATAGAGAACTGTTGGCCATTATTCTTGCCCTCAAGGAGTGGCGACATCTTTTGGAGGGTTCCAAGGACCCCCTGTTGATCATAACCGACCACAAAAATCTGGCATATATAGGGGATGCCAAACGTTTGTCTTCCAGACAGGCTAGATGGTCACTGTTCCTTTCACGTTTTAACTTTCTCATTACTTATAGACCTGGTTCTAAAAATACCAAGGCTGATGCCTTGTCCAGGCAATTTGATAATGAGTCAGCTCCGGAACAGATGACATCTCCTATTATTCCACCAGAGTGTATTATTGCTACTACTGTCCTCTCACTGTCTTCTCCACTGCTTGGCACCATACTGGAGGCCCAGCCTCAAGCGCCCAGTGGTAAACCGTGTGATAAACTGTTCGTTCCCCTATGTGAAAGGGTTAATATCATGAAAGTGTTCCATGACAATATAACTGCTGGACACCCGGGCATCAATAAGTCCACTGCCGCGATCACTAGATCATTTTGGTGGGATTCACTCAGGAAAGATGTAAAGGAGTATGTGCAGGCATGTTCTGTGTGTGCAGTTTCTAAGGTGACTCATGCACTTCCTTGTGGCCTGTTGCAGCCTCTTCCTGTTCCTGAGATTCCATGGTCCCACCTATCCATGGACTTTATTGTTGAGCTTCCTAGCTCTGCTGGGTTCACTACTATTCTCATGGTTGTAGACCGATTTTCTAAGATGGCTCACTTCATTCCTCTCAAGAAGTTGCCATCTTCGCAAGATTTGGTCCTAATTTTCATACGTGAAATTGTCCGTTTGCATGGCATCCCCCACAATATTGTGTCTGATAGGGGCTCTCAGTTTGTGTCCAGGTTCTGGAGGGCGTTCAGTAAACAATTGGGGATTGATCTCTCCTTCTCCTCCTCCTACCATCCACAGACCAATGGTACAGCTGAGAGGGCTAACCAGTCATTAGAAGTTTATTTGCGTTGTTTTATTAATAGTACACAAGACAATTGGTCCGAACTACTCCCGTGGGCCGAGTTCGCTAGAAACAATGCTGTTCATGACTCCTCTGGGCACAGTCCATTGTTTGTCAATAATGGTAGGCATCCTACGGTTCTCCCTGCGGTATTTTCTGATACTGCCATTCCTGCTCTGGATGAGCGTCTGGCCTCCATTCAGGATACCTGGGTTAAGGTTCAAACTGCTCTAGGGGCTGCTGCTGAACGCTTCAAACATTTTGCTGATAAGCGTAGGAGTGCCAACCCGGTGTACCAAGTGGGGGACCGGGTTTGGTTGTCATCTCGCAACATCAAGCTTAAGGTCCCTAGCATGAAGTTTGCCCCCAGATTCCTTGGTCCCTATAGAGTGCTTCGTAGGATCAATCCAGTGTCTTACTCTCTGGCTCTTCCTGCATCTTTAGGGATTCCCAACACTTTTCATGTGTCCTTACTCAAATCTCTTGTCTGCAATAGATATACTGTTCCTTGTGTTCCTCCCCCTCCGGTGGTGGTGGGTGGTAAGGAAGAGTATGAGGTATCTTCTATCGTGGATTCTAGGTTTTCTCGGGGCACTTTACAGTACTTGGTTGTTTGGAAAGGTTACGGTCCTGCTGATCGTTCTTGGGTTTCGGCTCCTGACCTGCATGCGGGCCGTAAGATCCACGCTTTTCACGCTAAATTTCCTCTCAAGCCTGGTCCTGTCCGCCCAGGGTGGGCGTTCTTCAGGTGGGGGGTAATGTCACATATTCATCTGCTTATAGAAATGTGGTTAATGACATTTACTGTCCACACAGGAAAAGTTGTGCCGAGCAGCAAACTAATCCACAGAAGGGTTAATGCTGAGCAGTAATTGTGCAAATGAAACCTGGTGTCATGTATTCATCCGCTTAGAGAAAAGTGATTAATGACATTTACTGTCCACACAGAAAAAGTTGTGCCGAGCAGCAACCTAATCCACAGAAGGGTTAATGCTGAGCAGCAATTATGCAAATGAAACCTGGTAACTGACTTTGGGGTCAAAGGCCGGTTACAGCCTATCAGAACTAAAGGAGGGATATTTAGACCCAGTTCTCAGCCTGCTCAGTGCCCTGTTGTGGTTTCCCTTGTGGTTGTCTGAGAGCGCGGTCCTGTTTATAGTTTTCTACCTGGTTTTTTACTTTGGCTTTGTTTATTGACTTCTTTATATTCTGGTATCCTGACTCCTGGCTTTCCTCATCGCTGTGTCCCTTTCTGTGTTCCCTGACCTCGGCTAGTATTTTTGACTATTCTTTGTACGTTAAATCCGGCCATTCTAAGGACCGGTAATACGTTACTTATTTGTCATCCGTGCTGTACAGTTCTACGTGCTGGATCAAACAGTAATCTTGACAGTATGAGGGGCAGTTTGTGTGTATGGGGCAGTTTGTGTGTATGGCGGGCAGTTTGTGTGAGTATGGCGGGCAGTTTGTGTGTATGGGGGGCAGTGTGTGTGTGTGTGTATGGGGGGGCAGTGTGTGTATGGGGGGCAGTGTGTGTGTATGGGGGCAGTGTGTATGTGTATGTGGGGCAGTGTGTATGTGGGGGTGTGTGTGTGTATGGGTGGGTGGTGTGTGTGTATGGGGGTAGTGTGTGTATGGGGGGCAGTGTGTGTATGGGGGCAGTGTGTGTGGGGCAGTGCATGTGTGTGTATGGGGGCAGTATGTGTGTGTGGTGGGGGCAGTGTGTGTATGGGGGGCAGTGTGTGTGTGTGTATGTGGAGGGCAGTGTGTGTATGTGGGGGCAGTGTGTGTGTGTATGTGGGGGCAGTGTGTGTGTATAGTTGGGTAGGTGTGTGTGTATGGGGGGCAGTATGTGTGTGTATGGGGGGCAGTGTGTGTGTGTGTGTGTATGGGGGGCAGTATGTGTGTGTATGGGGGCAGTGTGTGTATGGGGGCAGTGTGTGTGTATAGGGGGCAGTATGTGTGTATAGGGGCAGTATGTGTGCAGTATGTGTGTATAGGGGCAGTTTGTGTGAATGGGCAGACTGTGTTTTATGATTTATATCTTAGACGGAATGTTTGTAATATAAGCTTTTTTTTATATGATGAACAAAAATGAAATAAAGATTATGTTAAATAAAAAATAATGTATGTACAGTATTTAATTTTAGGAGATAGGAAATACTTTATATAAATCCATGAATATAAAATAAAAGTATATTTTTACTATTATGTTATTATCCCTCACCTATATATATCCCTCACCTATATTTATGTATATATATATATATATATATCCAAATAGCAAAGGTGACGGGCACTCACGGATTCATAATTTGATTAAAACATCCAAAGTTTAATGAAAAAAATAAAAAAGATAGTTGACAGCTCAACGTTTCAGTCCTCCTCTGGGACTTTCATCAGGAACAACGTTCCTTGGTTGTTCCTGATGAAAGTCCCAGAGGAGGACTGAAACGTTGAGCTGTCAACTATCTTTTTTATTTTTTTCATTAAACTTTGGATGTTTTAATCAAATTATGAATCCGTGAGTGCCCGTCACCTTTGCTATTTGGATATTGGATCTTTCCCCAGGACTACAAGCACCCGGTATGTTGTAACCTATGAGCCTGAGTGCAAGAATTTTGTGTTTATATATATATATATATATATCAATAAGTTAAAGAGAATAAACAAAAATAATGTTTGTTATTCTCTTTATTTGCATTGTGTGCCTTGGCCATGCCTAGACTGAACTAAATAGTGTTGCCGTTTCTTCCAAATATATAATATACATTTAAAAGAAAACTTTATTTATCGTGTATTAAAACTAATTCCTATGAATGACTTTACAATTAAATAAAAAAGGTATACACAAAGTTAGGAAGTCGGGTTATCTTGCTCTTCTTAAATCTGCAGCTCTGCACAAGATGGCTCCCTTCTTTTATGTTTTCTTTTATCCCTTCTTTCTTCTCTTCCTTCTCTGTTTTCTGGCATTCATCTCACTTTTTTGTTGTGGAATAGGGTATGCACCCATTGTAAGATAGTAGTGTTTAACTTGTGCTGCATCTGGTTAAAAATAATATTAAAAAAGATCATTTACTTTGCTATAGCAGTGCCAAAATTCGACATCATAGAAGACAATCGGCAAATTATTTAATAACAGAACAGCGAGAAAGTAAAAAGCTGAAACGTTAGAATTTGAAAGCCTTGCGCCCAAATTTACAGTCTACATCAAGCAACTTTATTATGATTTAACTATGTTTAAAGTATTGAAAACGAGAGAAATCTCAATGTATCTTTCCTGGTAAAATATTTTATAAATAAATAAAATATAAAAAGAAACAGAACAATCTATTATATGTGTATAAAACATATATGTATTTATTTATTTATTATTTATTTATTTATATTTCTTTGTACCTTTTGTGAATTATACAGGTATACATGTGTATACAATAAAGCTCATAAACAAATATAGCCATTTTGTCTTTATTGTTATGTGACTTCTTTCTTTGTTATACAGAGTATTAATGAAAAGGGATTAAGTGATGAAGGGAAACATATTTGTGTAGTAAAAGTTGGAGAAGTAATCAGGCATTATCACATTTTCTTTCTTTTGGTAATCAGTGTGAGCTGCATCCACGCCTAGGTTTTTGTAGCTAGAGGGAAAAAAGACAAATTAGTATTAAGAGAGATTATAGGATTTCCTATACATAGGAATAATTAAAAGTAATTACAGTCAGAGCTGTCCAATTTCAGTGCCTCGGGTACACAACCATTTTGGTGAGTTTTGCATATTACTCTTACCTAATTTATAACACACAGAAAATAGGTGGAGCAAGTGGTGATAATTAAATAAGAATGTACTTCCCTCTCTTCTAACTTTCTCACTGTAATTTAGCTATTTTTATTTAACACACATTTGAACAAACGGTCGATAGTAGACTACCTTTGTAAAATGAACAATGTATAATAGCGATAATGCTTAAAAAAAAAATATAAAAATACTTACCTGTCAATGTACCCTATCCCCAGAATCTGTGAGATTTGCAACGAACAACAAATGGATATATGATATTGCTGTGCTTTCTTAATAAATCCTGATTTTCCCATTTTTATCAGGATGATTTCTTGGTTTTGCATGATGGTCTTTAAGTGCACTTTTCTTTGCATGTTCTACAATCCTTCTACGTGTTTCAACTTCTACTGTGAACTTTTAAAAGACCAGGAAGTGGCTCTGCCAATACTGATGCTTCTATTATTTTATTCGTAAGCTACTGAACTTATTAATGTCTCTGAGTGCCACAGACAGGGTCAGACTAGCCCATCTTTTCCAGTTGGCCCCCATACCTTCAGGGCCTGTGCACAGCCGCCTAGGGTGCACTGGCCCTTGGGCGCAATTGCTTAGCACTGCCTGTCACTACATGTAGCATGCCCGAGCGGACTGTAGTACAGGATCTCCATTTTTTCCAGGACTACTGCTAGTTCCAAGGCTGGCCCAGGCCGCAGGCAACTGGAACTGCAAGGGAGACCTTAAATTGATCTGCTCCTAATAGACCACAATGCTCCATCACTGGACCTCCAGGGACCACATTACCTACCACAAGGTAAGGAATAAAGTAGGTAAAGTTGTGAGGAGTTGCTTCCTCATGTACATTTAACCTCCTCATGTTAGAAGAGATACTACAGGTTGAACTGAGCCTTACCGATAATGCAAAAATAAATATTATGAAAATGTATAATGAAAAGAAAGTAATCTTCAAATAGCCTATACTCTCTGCAAACTGTGAAGAAAATTCTACATTGAACTTTGCCAAGACCAACATGTGGCTCTGGCAATCCTGGTATTCCTGATATGTTAATTGGTTGCTGAGTAAACCCCATAAAACCATAACCAGCAGGGAATTTAATGCAGTTCAGCACATGGTGTGAGTACTGTTCATTATGTAGGGTGAATCAGGTAAAGAGTAGAAGTAGAGTTGTATAGCATATGCATCCAATGCTAGCTCTTGTACCTGCAGAGAGGTAGTATTACCTTCCCAATATGATGTATCACAGGTATGTGTTTAAGTAATAGTTTTTTGATTAAACTATGAAATTACATAACAAGCATCCATTGCAAGACACTCCAAATCACCACACTATCAATAAACATAATAGGAAAACA